GTGATTTAGTCAGTTAATTTATAACTGTCTCCTTCTTGACAACTGTAACAGGCGGAGTGTCGCTGTTGCGACTTATCCACTTGATTTTCACTTGCTTCGTTCGGCTTCTGTTTTCATTATCGCTGTCGTTTTTTCCCTTTGGGAGCTCTAAGTCTTCGAGTTCCTCCTCGACTACGATGTACTCGCCATGTTGCTGTGTTCCGTTGGCGAAGATGTACGTCCCCGGGCCGATCATTTTATCGTCGTGAAAATTCCCGATGTAGTTTTGCTTTCCGAACGTAAGTTTGCCTCTTCCTGAAACGATACAAGCAAAGAATTGGTAAATGAGCTTGTAAACAAATAAGAAAATAAACAATTCAGTAAACAAAAAGTGAGTAAACAGACAGTTGCACAAACAAGTAATCAAGAACATTTGAAAATAAACAAGTAAACAAGCGCGTAAACAAACCGGTAAACAAACAAAGAAGTAGCCAACTATCAAACCGTCAAATAGGCCATTTTCGTGTTCTCGGTATTGAACTGGAACTAGCTTGCAATTGAGGCTCGTGTGGGGAATATCATTAAAAGTAGATTAATGTCATTTGCATTTGAAAGGACTCCCCGCATTAGCCTCGGTTTCAAGCTAGTTTCAGTCCAATACCGAGAATACTGTCTGCTATTGTGAAGAAGAAAATTCTTGGAAATGCAAAGGAAATGCTTGCTAAATTATGTTTCCAACCATTCTGCTCTTGTTCATTATGAAAAAGATCGTAAAAATATAGCCCGCTAAAGGTCTTAAACTTTGCGTGAGATTTTTGCCGTCGCTTTACCTAAGTCTTGTGTGTTCACGAGTATGACTGTTATCCAGAAGAGGGTTTCATTAAAACGCTCTTTGCAAGATAAAAAAAATTATCTTTAATAGACAAAGTCGCGAATTTAAATGGGAAATTTCGCCGACTTACTGCAAACAACGAGATATGTAAATGTATGTTAAAAGAAAATTGATCATTATTGCGATAAAGCCTTTTTTTTTTCCTATGGGTGTAATACGCCAACGGTTTCTTTAATTAAAGTTCATCTATAGGCCGACTTCATCAGTAGGCTGTTTTAATCATTTGTTCTTAATTTTGTCTGATCCTTGGAAATTTGTAAATTTACATTGCAAAACTTAGTTTCGTATTGCTTGACAATTTCTTGTGAATAACACAATTTCGATATATTAATATCTGCGAGGAACATTGCGCATTATTGCGAGGCTTAGAGGAACAATCAGAACGTCTGTTGTATTTTTGTCTTCAGCCAAGTATTGACGAATTGTAACGTATCAAAATTGGACTACTAAGATGGCGCAGAATTTTTGTTTTCCTTTGAGACATTTTTGCAAATTGCCTGATTTATTCATAAAATTTATTCGGTAATTTGTGCTATCTCTTTTTTCGCCCTTAAAACGTAATACTTTATTTGCATTTCTTGATTTGCTGTCAAAGCACTTGCCAAGCTTGTTACAAAGATTTTCGCTTTATACTGCTTATTTATCGCATATATTTGGATGTTATTTTTCCAGGGGAACTAAATTCGTTAAACGATATCTTTCAGCGTAGTATCTGTTTTCTTTGTGTCTTTTTCTGAGTCTAGGTCATAATTTATTTATGTGTAGACCACTTTGGTCTTAATATTTCATGGACTTATTAAGGTACCTAGCAACCGAGTCTAAGAAAAATTCTGAACACAGCGGATATTGGAAAACATACATATTTTTGACTGCGCGCCGGCAAAGCTATAATAATAGCAGTTATTTCAGTTTTTTTTCTTTTTCTATCATTCTGAGATTGTGTTTAGTTCATTGTGTTTAAAGTTTCTGGTCTGTCAAAAATGTTTATCAATGAATGAATTTTGTCACGATCAAACTACTGGCGAAATTGTGCAAATTGTGATCGAGCCAATTTGAGCTTTTGATATCACAATTATCGTATTCAACAAAAATAAACCTGCTTGTGGTACGATGCTTGAAGCGTTTCTCTTCGCTCTTCCTCGAATTTATGCGCTTCGATAAAATATCTCCTTGTAATCTTTTTAGTAAAGAGCTAAAGAGCTAAAAAGCACCTGTGTTATAGTATTGAATTTACCTGATCTTTTCCCCTCAAACCATTGCCCCTCGTATGACATCCCACTCGCTGCATATGTGTATGATCCTTGACCGTGTCTTCTGTCATGTTCCCACTCTCCTCGGTACAGATCCCCATTTGTGTAATAATACGAACCGAATCCGTGCCGTAAATCGTCTTTCCAGCTTCCTTCATACTTCGCGCCATCGGGATACAGAAACGTCCCTTGCCCGTTTTTCTTGTTGTTTTCATAATGCCCCATGTAGCAAGCGTTTCGCGACTTGCCCTTCAGTTTTCTAAACACGTATTTTCCATAGCCATTGCGGTATCCGTTCTTATACTCCCCCTCGTAAACATCACCGTTTGGAAGCCTTGCTTTGCCTTTGCCATGTCGCTCGCCGCTTTCGTTCCGTCCACCCTCGTAAGTATACGGTAGTAACTCGTTTTCAGAGTCCATTTCCTCGTCTGATTCGCGTACCGTTTCCATGCCAGCGAAAATTCAAATAGGCGATTTAAATATTCCAGTGAGAAAGAAAAATAAAAGCGTTCAAAACTTCTTCGCTTCGGCGTGAAATCTTTAACGCGTGTCAATCTCCGAGCGAGTATAAATCAATGGTGTTTTGGCACACGGATCAAAACGCAAACATACTTTGAAACCGAAATGTTCGTCGAGAACTTCCCGCTTGGTTTAAACGCCAGATAATTTTAATTTTTAACCGTGTGTTTTTTGGGCTGGTCGAATAGCGTTGAGGCTCGTGAAAAAGAGAAAATCCCTACACGAGTGGCGTTAATATTTTAAACACGCTTTTGTATTTGTGTTAGAAATAGTTTCGCTCAAGAACAAGGTGCTGTATTTTGAACATTCTTGAATATTTCAATTGGTGCTTGGCTCACAAATAACAGAAGAGTGGAGACAACTTAATCGCGGTTCTAAATTATTAATTGGCTCGGAATGTTTTTGCGGTAGCATTTCAAAATTATCTTAAATATGGAAACAAGGGGGAAAACTGCTTACCAACTTGCTGGGACATATATCGCTTGAGGCGTTTGTTTGCTTTTTTTAACTTGTATACCGCCTTATCTTTGAAACCCTTTTAACGTGTTATTGGCAAGGAAGGAAGTAAACTACTGTTTGCGATTAAAGTTCAGATGCTAATAACAAAAATCAAAATGAAGAAGGTTTGGAAAAACGCCAGTTATAAAGAGCGCAGACAAGGCTAAATTGCCGGCGGTTTTGTGAACTGTGCTAGTGATGAATTCGCTTCACTCTTTGATTCAATTGTATTTTTGTCAATCCCCACCTGAAGACAGAAAAACGTCAAACATCTGCAGCATCTAATAAGGAACGGAACCATCTATTTCTGTTATAGTTTCTGGTTATCACCTTTTTTTTTCCAAAGCTTTTCTTCTTAATTTCAGTTTTTAAATTTCTCTTTTTTTTATTCTCGCGAAACAATTTTTTCCCAGGTTGAAACTCTTTATCGCAATAATTTATCCACCCAACTTTCAAATAATTGACCGTGTTATTAATATTACATGGTCGTAAAATACGGATAATTTTCGTCGTCCAGTTTCTTGGGTGACTAAAATTAGAGTGAACTATGACTCCACTTCAAAATTGCACTGTTTTGTAAATAAGCCATCATTTTGATGAATGTTTAGCCTTAAACTTCAAGACAATCTTAAATAACGTGAAACATAAACGTGTTCAAAATTATTTTAAACCTTTTGCGGTTAATAAGGAAAAAAACAAAACAAAAAACAAAAAAAAAATATTTCGGGTTTTTTCACGTTTCGAAATCAAAAACTAATTTAGTGTAGGTTTCGTTTACGATTGAAACATTATAATGAATTCTTTTTTAAAAAGTTCCCAACTTTCTGTTTTTATCCTGTTTTGATTTCTTCTAGAATATCAAGACGAATTTATCTTGAAAACCCAACTAAAAATAAAGATTTTTTGTTGCTTTAGCATCGAAGTTTTATTTTAACTATATAAACCGCTTCTCAATCTTTTTATTACACATTTCTCTGTTCCTGTCTGGTTGAAAACAAAAATATCCATGTTCATAAAATCACAGAATTAATTTCTTATTCACCTCACAGACGATAAATTACCTGATATGTTCTTTTAATGGGTCGCATGCCGCTTAAATATCAAAAAAACTACTGGTGTTAATAACGGTATGCTTTATCACTGATACGGTTTGTAAAATAAATGTTATGTTTCTTTGGTGGTCAACTCAAACACTTCGTGAATTATTAACTTGGAGCTGATAAAAGGTAAAGTGACCAATAGGGATTTTTGAACGGTGACGATTTGAGCGTCAACCCTTTCGTCGGGACAGAGGTTTTCATTTTACTGAATCGAAGGCTAGACTNATTGTATAGTTTGTTTCTTGACTATACTGCAAATACAGACTCCTCTCCTCTCTCCTGGCCGCTTAGGGCGTTTGCAAAAGAAAGAAAAGCTGGCTTCTACTTGCAGATTTACTATTCTAAATTGAAATTGCCTGCTTTGCTGTTGAAACGTGTATAAATAGTTAAAAAGAAATTTATGAAAATAGTACTTGTTGCTATTAACCTAATGCAACATTTTAAACTACAGTGTCATACTTATTCTCCTTCGTGTTTTTTACATATTTGTTATTGTACCAGTTGGGAGAATTTTATAAGATATCAAAAAGTGATCATTTGTTTAATTCTCATGACCTTTTTACTAGAAAGTTTATTGATATTATAAGGAGATATTAAGTGTTAATCACTCTTGGGTTCGAAAGAGCTAAGTCACGATTCAATAATTAATACAAGCCGAAAAAATTCTTAAAATAATAGCTTACAAGGTCGAAAAACATCAAAGAATTAATTATAAACTAAAGAGGTACACGGATGTTTAGGACTGAGAAAGATTGAGATGAATTAATTAAAAAAATAATTCTTGAACTCTGTGACCGTGAGAAGGATCCATACATCGACGGTGATGTATCACATTCGTTTATCACGTTCATGTAATGTTCCTGATGTGTCTCAAGGTTTATTTTCCCACACATTTGTTTTTTATCTTGACATATGACGTTTCACGTAACTGTCACGATATGTCCGAGTCAAGGTGCGGTTACAAAGCAAAACCATCAGTCCGTCATTTTGACTTCTATTTCCCTCCTTTCCTGAAGAAGACTAGTTTAACTAACCGAAATCTCGATTTAAAATCATTTTTAACCTCCGATGGATCCCTGAAATCAGAGAACCACCTTTTAATTTTTATTTTTTTAAAAAAATTGTTTACCAAACTTTCAACCCATTTCCTTAACATAGATTCCTATGTACGTTACAAAGTTGAAAATGACATTCTTCCCTTTCGTGTTATGTAAGAAAAATGGTTAAATTACCAGCACCATCAAGGACCCTTTTTTCTAAAAAGCAAAATTTGTTACTATTCTAAATTGTAACCTGAATTTAATTAACCTAGACCCAGGTTCTCTCTCCTTTGCAAGGGAGAGAAAGCCTGGAATCGAGGTTGTGATTTAGTCAGTTAATTTATAACTGTCTCCTTCTTGACAACTGTAACAGGCGGAGTGTCGCTGTTGCGACTTATCCACTTGATTTTCACTTGCTTCGTTCGGCTTCTGTTTTCATTATCGCTGTCGTTTTTTCCCTTTGGGAGCTCTAAGTCTTCGAGTTCCTCCTCGACTACGATGTACTCGCCATGTTGCTGTGTTCCGTTGGCGAAGATGTACGTCCCCGGGCCGATCATTTTATCGTCGTGAAAATTCCCGATGTAGTTTTGCTTTCCGAACGTAAGTTTGCCTCTTCCTGAAACGATACAAGCAAAGAATTGGTAAATGAGCTTGTAAACAAATAAGAAAATAAACAATTCAGTAAACAAAAAGTGAGTAAACAGACAGTTGCACAAACAAGTAATCAAGAACATTTGAAAATAAACAAGTAAACAAGCGCGTAAACAAACCGGTAAACAAACAAAGAAGTAGCCAACTATCAAACCGTCAAATAGGCCATTTTCGTGTTCTCGGTATTGAACTGGAACTAGCTTGCAATTGAGGCTCGTGTGGGGAATATCATTAAAAGTAGATTAATGTCATTTGCATTTGAAAGGACTCCCCGCATTAGCCTCGGTTTCAAGCTAGTTTCAGTCCAATACCGAGAATACTGTCTGCTATTGTGAAGAAGAAAATTCTTGGAAATGCAAAGGAAATGCTTGCTAAATTATGTTTCCAACCATTCTGCTCTTGTTCATTATGAAAAAGATCGTAAAAATATAGCCCGCTAAAGGTCTTAAACTTTGCGTGAGATTTTTGCCGTCGCTTTACCTAAGTCTTGTGTGTTCACGAGTATGACTGTTATCCAGAAGAGGGTTTCATTAAAACGCTCTTTGCAAGATAAAAAAAATTATCTTTAATAGACAAAGTCGCGAATTTAAATGGGAAATTTCGCCGACTTACTGCAAACAACGAGATATGTAAATGTATGTTAAAAGAAAATTGATCATTATTGCGATAAAGCCTTTTTTTTTTCCTATGGGTGTAATACGCCAACGGTTTCTTTAATTAAAGTTCATCTATAGGCCGACTTCATCAGTAGGCTGTTTTAATCATTTGTTCTTAATTTTGTCTGATCCTTGGAAATTTGTAAATTTACATTGCAAAACTTAGTTTCGTATTGCTTGACAATTTCTTGTGAATAACACAATTTCGATATATTAATATCTGCGAGGAACATTGCGCATTATTGCGAGGCTTAGAGGAACAATCAGAACGTCTGTTGTATTTTTGTCTTCAGCCAAGTATTGACGAATTGTAACGTATCAAAATTGGACTACTAAGATGGCGCAGAATTTTTGTTTTCCTTTGAGACATTTTTGCAAATTGCCTGATTTATTCATAAAATTTATTCGGTAATTTGTGCTATCTCTTTTTTCGCCCTTAAAACGTAATACTTTATTTGCATTTCTTGATTTGCTGTCAAAGCACTTGCCAAGCTTGTTACAAAGATTTTCGCTTTATACTGCTTATTTATCGCATATATTTGGATGTTATTTTTCCAGGGGAACTAAATTCGTTAAACGATATCTTTCAGCGTAGTATCTGTTTTCTTTGTGTCTTTTTCTGAGTCTAGGTCATAATTTATTTATGTGTAGACCACTTTGGTCTTAATATTTCATGGACTTATTAAGGTACCTAGCAACCGAGTCTAAGAAAAATTCTGAACACAGCGGATATTGGAAAACATACATATTTTTGACTGCGCGCCGGCAAAGCTATAATAATAGCAGTTATTTCAGTTTTTTTTCTTTTTCTATCATTCTGAGATTGTGTTTAGTTCATTGTGTTTAAAGTTTCTGGTCTGTCAAAAATGTTTATCAATGAATGAATTTTGTCACGATCAAACTACTGGCGAAATTGTGCAAATTGTGATCGAGCCAATTTGAGCTTTTGATATCACAATTATCGTATTCAACAAAAATAAACCTGCTTGTGGTACGATGCTTGAAGCGTTTCTCTTCGCTCTTCCTCGAATTTATGCGCTTCGATAAAATATCTCCTTGTAATCTTTTTAGTAAAGAGCTAAAGAGCTAAAAAGCACCTGTGTTATAGTATTGAATTTACCTGATCTTTTCCCCTCAAACCATTGCCCCTCGTATGACATCCCACTCGCTGCATATGTGTATGATCCTTGACCGTGTCTTCTGTCATGTTCCCACTCTCCTCGGTACAGATCCCCATTTGTGTAATAATACGAACCGAATCCGTGCCGTAAATCGTCTTTCCAGCTTCCTTCATACTTCGCGCCATCGGGATACAGAAACGTCCCTTGCCCGTTTTTCTTGTTGTTTTCATAATGCCCCATGTAGCAAGCGTTTCGCGACTTGCCCTTCAGTTTTCTAAACACGTATTTTCCATAGCCATTGCGGTATCCGTTCTTATACTCCCCCTCGTAAACATCACCGTTTGGAAGCCTTGCTTTGCCTTTGCCATGTCGCTCGCCGCTTTCGTTCCGTCCACCCTCGTAAGTATACGGTAGTAACTCGTTTTCAGAGTCCATTTCCTCGTCTGATTCGCGTACCGTTTCCATGCCAGCGAAAATTCAAATAGGCGATTTAAATATTCCAGTGAGAAAGAAAAATAAAAGCGTTCAAAACTTCTTCGCTTCGGCGTGAAATCTTTAACGCGTGTCAATCTCCGAGCGAGTATAAATCAATGGTGTTTTGGCACACGGATCAAAACGCAAACATACTTTGAAACCGAAATGTTCGTCGAGAACTTCCCGCTTGGTTTAAACGCCAGATAATTTTAATTTTTAACCGTGTGTTTTTTGGGCTGGTCGAATAGCGTTGAGGCTCGTGAAAAAGAGAAAATCCCTACACGAGTGGCGTTAATATTTTAAACACGCTTTTGTATTTGTGTTAGAAATAGTTTCGCTCAAGAACAAGGTGCTGTATTTTGAACATTCTTGAATATTTCAATTGGTGCTTGGCTCACAAATAACAGAAGAGTGGAGACAACTTAATCGCGGTTCTAAATTATTAATTGGCTCGGAATGTTTTTGCGGTAGCATTTCAAAATTATCTTAAATATGGAAACAAGGGGGAAAACTGCTTACCAACTTGCTGGGACATATATCGCTTGAGGCGTTTGTTTGCTTTTTTTAACTTGTATACCGCCTTATCTTTGAAACCCTTTTAACGTGTTATTGGCAAGGAAGGAAGTAAACTACTGTTTGCGATTAAAGTTCAGATGCTAATAACAAAAATCAAAATGAAGAAGGTTTGGAAAAACGCCAGTTATAAAGAGCGCAGACAAGGCTAAATTGCCGGCGGTTTTGTGAACTGTGCTAGTGATGAATTCGCTTCACTCTTTGATTCAATTGTATTTTTGTCAATCCCCACCTGAAGACAGAAAAACGTCAAACATCTGCAGCATCTAATAAGGAACGGAACCATCTATTTCTGTTATAGTTTCTGGTTATCACCTTTTTTTTTCCAAAGCTTTTCTTCTTAATTTCAGTTTTTAAATTTCTCTTTTTTTTATTCTCGCGAAACAATTTTTTCCCAGGTTGAAACTCTTTATCGCAATAATTTATCCACCCAACTTTCAAATAATTGACCGTGTTATTAATATTACATGGTCGTAAAATACGGATAATTTTCGTCGTCCAGTTTCTTGGGTGACTAAAATTAGAGTGAACTATGACTCCACTTCAAAATTGCACTGTTTTGTAAATAAGCCATCATTTTGATGAATGTTTAGCCTTAAACTTCAAGACAATCTTAAATAACGTGAAACATAAACGTGTTCAAAATTATTTTAAACCTTTTGCGGTTAATAAGGAAAAAAACAAAACAAAAAACAAAAAAAAAATATTTCGGGTTTTTTCACGTTTCGAAATCAAAAACTAATTTAGTGTAGGTTTCGTTTACGATTGAAACATTATAATGAATTCTTTTTTAAAAAGTTCCCAACTTTCTGTTTTTATCCTGTTTTGATTTCTTCTAGAATATCAAGACGAATTTATCTTGAAAACCCAACTAAAAATAAAGATTTTTTGTTGCTTTAGCATCGAAGTTTTATTTTAACTATATAAACCGCTTCTCAATCTTTTTATTACACATTTCTCTGTTCCTGTCTGGTTGAAAACAAAAATATCCATGTTCATAAAATCACAGAATTAATTTCTTATTCACCTCACAGACGATAAATTACCTGATATGTTCTTTTAATGGGTCGCATGCCGCTTAAATATCAAAAAAACTACTGGTGTTAATAACGGTATGCTTTATCACTGATACGGTTTGTAAAATAAATGTTATGTTTCTTTGGTGGTCAACTCAAACACTTCGTGAATTATTAACTTGGAGCTGATAAAAGGTAAAGTGACCAATAGGGATTTTTGAACGGTGACGATTTGAGCGTCAACCCTTTCGTCGGGACAGAGGTTTTCATTTTACTGAATCGAAGGCTAGACTGTTGAAAGCGAGGCGGTTCCGGCCATCGCACATTACATGGCGTCTTGCTAAGAGAATTTCTCTAAAGAGAGGTGAAATAAAATATCATAAATAACGAAACCTCATAGAACCGCATAGTTCTGAGTATTTGGAATGGTTAATGAAGCGACAGAATTTGGCTGGATGTAACAATTTACCGGATAGAAACTGTGTTAGATTTCAGTTTTCATAGCTTTGATGGCTCTCAAAAGAGCCAAGGGTTGCGTGAAGTCCTTCAGGGGTATCTCCCATGTCAAAAAGTCATGGATGCTCCTCGGAAAATTTGAATGAATCAAATGGAGACCAATGTTCTGGGAGTGGATCGAGCTTTATTTGATCCCTAAAAGATACCACCTGATACGAAAATGACAGCGTTTTATTATTATCTCTTCGAGTGCACCTTAAAAGATATCTTGACGGCTAGCAATAGTGGAGTTTTTTTCCTAAACACCTTAAGTGAGACAAAAATCCGTGACGTTCTTCCCTAAGCGAGGCAACGAACATCCTCGCCCGTTTCTTGTGGGTGCCTTTCCCCCCCCCCCGGGATTTTGTCCATCTTTGTAGCTATTCAGAATTTGCATTTACATACTCAGTTTTAAGGTATTCGAAATTCGATTCCACCCTGAATTACAAACCAGTTCGTTTCTTAGCTAGCTAGTTTAAAAATCTCTCACTTGATGTAAGACATTTTACAATGTTGTTGTTTTCAGGCCCAGTTCAAAAACGTGCCTTGGGATTTAAATTCCGTCGTGGTTTTTCGCTTGTACTTGCAACCAGGTGATCTAGCGACATCCGGGAATTCCACTGCGCCCGCGGCCAATCTTTTAGACGAAAGTAAACTGGCGGCTTGGACTGCATTGCCGCTGGCGCTGACTGCAGGCTCACATGCTTCCAGACGAAGCAGACAATCGGGAGGTAACCGTTCCTATAACCGAAAATTTCCGTTAATTAACTATTAAGTTTGGATTAAGGTAGAAGAAAGGTCAATTAGAGTTGATGGGTTAGAATTCAACCTTAAATTCTTGTGTATTCTCGTGGGCTAAACTCATTACCGACACGATTGTCAGGGCATCGGTGAATCCGAGAAACTGTTTGTCAGTAACTATCTTCTTGTCCAAGGGAAGTGATTCTAGCCTACATTCTTCGAGTTCGTCGTGTTAATCTTCTCCATCCTTGACCATCCTTGTGTTTTTATGGTTTATTATTATCTCTTTGGTGTTTTTGTATCTTAGTAAACTATTATTTTCAGGTTTCCTTCAATTTAAAGGTAATTTTGTACGTGGCCAAAATAACTCAAAATCCCTTGACTGAGCTCCTTTAAAAGCCGCATCTGACATACACAATCTACTGTTATTGATTTGTGCGTATAATTATACTTAAAGTTACTGTTCTTTTTTCTAGATAGCCGAGGCGGAGAAGCACGCCTCAACTTGGGAACTCACAATCTTCCCCTGTTCTTTCCGCCTGTTGCTCCTGTTCCTAACATTCCATTGCGGGTAAGAAGACTTCACCATCACGTCTGTAGCCTCCTTCGCAGACGTCACGCAGATAGCTCGTCACGCAATCGTTGGCTCGTCACGCAATCTTTTTTTTACCAAGATTGCGTGCCGAGCCCTAATGAGCGTCTTTGTAGGAAGATGTCACTTCTGTTACTCGCACATTTCACTCTGTTATGCTTGTAACAAGATCCATGTCTACTTTATGCTGATGTTGGTCTTTATCTATATAGGGCCCTTTTCCGGGACAGTGGTCCCTTTATGGACAGGCCTCGTTGAGGATAACTATATTTGCGTCTGGTAGCCCTCCACCAGAGAGGCCCAGTTCTCCTGAGGAATTTCTGCAAGAAAATGATCTTCCTGAGGTTAGTACTTGCTGTAAAATTAAGCTAAATTTTTCAAGTTCATTGTTCGTAATCCGTCCTAATCTTTCCCATTCTGGACCATCCTTCTTCCTTTTTGTTTTATTATTACCTCTTTGATGTTTATGAGCCTTAGAAAACTATCATTTTAAGTTACATTCCTTTTGAAGGAATTTGAAACCTCGTAAAAAATGACAGTGACCAAATGACAAAGTTCCTTTGAATTTGTGCGAAATTTTTAAATGGTTTGACAGAATAGAAAAGCGTTACAGAAGTAGTAAAAAGGCAAATAGAAGAACGAAAGAAGATAACGGGACAAGATTGAAACGAATTCCATTGAGACATTAAAAACTTGTTGTCTGACGCGTGACCTCTTCGAGCTAAATGTAATTGTTTTGTTTTCTAGAATGTATGGATTAAGAATGGCCGTTCTGCTATTCTGACCGACGAGTTTGAAGAAGGAAATGGCTTTGATTTGTACATTGATGGAGCGCGATTTCTTCCAGATAGTATCACTGTCTCCAAGGTTTGTCGTTTGTTGCGGTGTTTGGATCTAAAACGTTTTTGAAAAGATAGTTCGTTAGGGAACTAGTGCTCATTAAGTAGAGTCCTTCTGACAGTATTATTATTCTCTATACAAGTACGGACTTACTTTTTTGTCGTGTATTTCCAGGTTGCCGGAAGAGTGTTGGACAAAAACTACACAAGGTAGATACGTGTGTGGTGTAGCAAAACGGCAATGGTTTCTACTCTTCATAAATTGAGGGGAACCTAAGTTTTATAATTTCAATAAGCGGTCAATGACTGTAATGTACACGCGGACACTTCTTATTGCCGTTTCAAAACAAAAATTTTTCGTTGTTATTCGTTAATGTTTTTACCCTGACACCTGATTATCAGACAAATGCAGAAATGATAACGGAAATTAAAGAGATAATCTTTTCTATTGTAAACCCAAATGATTGTCGAATTTTAAAATAGCTGTTGTTTGGTTTAGTTGACTGTGTGAAAAGTAAAGGTCGCCTGTGCTTTCAAACCGCCAGTCGTCTCTCTGCTCAGTCTTGCCTTTACCTCTTAACCACACGCGTTTAAAAACGCAGTCGGTCTTTCTTTATCTGTTAACATTCTTAATGGTGTTGTTTATCTTGTTTAGAATCGGTGACGATATCGACGTACAGGCTGAGCTCGACTCTGACATTTACAACCCAGAATACAACGCGAGACTAGAATACCGAGAACCAGTCTTCTCGCAGTTTTGCACCCTTATGTTGAAAGTATACACCGTGGATAGGATAGCGAGAAATCTCTGTTGTGTGGGTTACGGATTTCTTCCCATCTTCATTGAAGTTGGAACGACAAATCCGCCTTCTGTTAGCAGTTCAGATGTCAAGGTTTGTTGTAGTGAGTGATGTTAATAGTGAAGATCTTCAACGTTAATACTAAATACACTCTTTGTTAAAGTAATAACCTGTTAAATTTTCTATAAAACAGAACAAAGCTTGAACATTGTTCCGAATCGTTTATTTCCTCGAGATTGCGTGACAGGTTTATAAGAGACGTATTCTTTTCTACTGCAGGTGGCTCTAAACGAAGGTCCTCACCAAATACGGTTATACAGTGGTAGCCCAGACCTCACTCAACCATTACACGAAAGTGTAACTCAAAGTCTGCCGTAAGTATCTGAGCATACTTCAGTCAATCTGTCTGTCCGTCTGTCTGTCTGTCAGTCTGTCAGTCAGTCATTCAGTCATTCAGTCCGTCAGTCTGTTAATCTGTTGATCTGTCAATCAGTCAGTCTGTCTGTCTGTCAGTCAGTCATTCAGTCATTCAGTCAGTCGGTCTGTCAGTCAGTCAGTCAGTCATTCAGTCATTCAATCAGTCAGTCAGTCTGTCAGTCTGCTGATCTGTCAGTCAGTCAGTCAGTGAGTCAGTGAGTCAGTCAGTGAGTCAGTCAGTCAGTCAGTCAGTCCTTCCATCCTTCCTTCCGTCCGTCTGTCCACCGGCCTGCCCACCTGCATCCCCCAACCAATCGCCCGTCAAAACTACTGTACCACTGACCCAAAAACCGGCCATGCACTCGCTAACTCGACCAACCGACCAAGGAACTCGATTGTCTGTATGGTACACCTAAGTAACAATGTTTGTATACCATTTCCTTCAACAGCCATGTGCCCTGTGCTAGTTTACTAGTAAGACTTGTTCAGGCGTCCTGTCATCCTAACGGAAGACCAAAGCAGGTACGTGAACCACTTCAGTTTGATGACACGACCTCCTGTCGTTTTTGTTTTATATACTTAGCTCCCGAGGTTTCACTCTGAAAACGCATCAAATGTTTTCCGTCCACACTACGCCGGAGGAATTTAAAAACGCAACAATCACCGGTCATTTTGCATTTGTGTTTGAGGAAAACTCAGGCAGGGAAATCACGTGATTATCGTGACGTCATCGTTTTCAAAAAGCTCCGTTTTGAAAATGTTTTCTGCCCACACGAAAACGTTTTCAAATTCCTCCGGTTTGAAGAGCGTTTTCGAAACGCTCCGTTTCCGTGACGGAATAATGTAGACGGTAGGCCTAACCGGAGAAATAAAGCTGCGTTTTCAAATTGCTCCGGCGTAGCGTGGACGGGATCCTAAATGCGACATTTCTCTAATAGCACAAGATTCCCAACACGCAGAAAAGCGACATTTTACAAGTAATCTTCAGCTCCAACGTTATTTGTGCAAGTTAGTGTGGTAACCGTTGAAGAGCTAAAACTATAAGATCTTCCTTGCAGCCGACACCTGACTTTTTTTCTTTCTTTCAACTGATCCTTTCAGGCTTCAGAGTTTACTGAAGCAGAGTGGGAGGCCGAGGGACTCTTTCAGCCCAAACCAAGCTATGCAGATGGTAAGTTTGTACGTAGATCTCCATCATTTTGATGCAAGGGGTTAATTACATGACTAGGCAAAGAGAGGTTATAAGGGCAAATTAAACATAATGAGCAATGTGGACATTGTTCTCTCATCAAGCCTGCCCAGTTTTGCCAGTAAATTCTAAGATCCTCAACTAAGTTTTATTTGGTTCTTTGTTACGTTGTCGGTCTTCTTCATCAGTTGGGAAACTTTGGTCCAAATGGCACTGACTAAGGCCCCTTCAACACTACACTGGAAGAATTTGAAATTGGAGGTTTCACTCTGAAAACGCATCAAATGTTTTCCGTCCACACTACGCCGGAGGAATTTGAAAACGCAACAATAACCGGTCATTTTGGATTAGAAGTTTAGAAAAACTCAGGCAGGGAATGACACTATTATCGTAATGTCTTCGTTTCTTCTTCGTTTCTTCTTCGTTTCTTCTTCGTTTCTTCGTTTCTTCTTCGTTTCTTCTTCGTTCTAAGACGCAAAGACGGCGTTTTCAAATTCCTCCGATTTGAAGAGCGTTTTCGAAAAGCTCCGTTTCCGTGACGGAATAATGTGAACGGTAGGCCTAACCGGAGAAATAAAGCTGCGTTTTCCAATTTCTCCAGCGCTTCATGGACGGGGCCTAAGTCTTCAAATGAAGTTCAAATTATGTAATATTTCAGGACGAAATTGTCGCTATCCATCTGTGTTGATTTTTCAATGCTTTTTAACCTTTTTCACTCATCGATTATTCATCGATTACTCATCGGCAATAATCAATGACTAATCAACTGATTATCCATCCATTACCCATTGATTACTCATTGATTTCGTTGATATCATCGACTAGTTACCTCTGGTGTATGTGAACGGGCGCTCGTTTTGGGCTATCTTTGTTTTTAAAAGCTGGGTTAGAAACAGTCTAATGTTTGCATATCATTGAAAATAAACAAACGCCCACGAAGGTCAATCATTTACTGAAGGGAAGCGAATCAAGCTGATTACATAAATTTTATCAATATCTTCACGTAATAACTAGGTTTGTACCCATGCTGGAATACAACGATACAAGCTTTATAAAATCAGGAGAAAAAAAATTAAAACAGCATTGATCTTTCCACATTTCTAGCTGCTAAAATGTAACATTTTATGATTTACTTCTCAAGATATTTACATGCCTCGTGATCTCTTATGTTTTGAACATATTTCACTTTTAAACTCAAAGTTTGAGCTTAACTCGATAGTACAGTTTGGGAGCTCGCATGGAGAAGACAGCCCTTGATGTACAATTAATATCAATATATCATTTAGTAGCGTCTGTAAGAGAGTTTATTAAACTGTCCCCTCGTTTTCTTGTAAAATCTGCATCCGGTCATATTTTAGGTTATCTGGGTTCTTTAGTTAGTAAAACCTACAAGATTTCTCTTTCGTACAATGCAATCATTCCTGGAGTACTTTAAAACTTATCACTCAACTGTTGAGTGTTAAGTTTTAAAGTACTTTCACCTTGCTGAGCACTTAGCGAAACAGAACGATAAGCATCTTCTAATACTATATACTTAACACTGTGATAAATCAGCGACTCGTGGATCCGTTCCTTTCCTGATTTTTCACACTTTTTGTTAAATAAAAACACACTGTGCTCCAATGCGAAGCCAAGATATATTCTTCGGGTGTAGATTAAACCCAAAAGTTTGCTTTACTGTGATAAATAATTCAAGTTTCTGTCGATGGTTAATGCTTAAGGCGTTGCATTCCTAAACTGATTGATATTGTCATCGAAAGCAAACAAAGAATTAACAAAGATGTAGAACAGAAAACTTAACCTCAAAACTCGAAGTTACAAACCAGCCTAAGTGACATTTGTAGTCTCGAACATCGTTATTTGCTCTTTTAGTCTGCTAATTAAAGCTTACAGCGACATAATTGTAGTTTTTCATTTGCGGGGGTGGAATTCGCTTTGTTGTCCTTCAATAAAAGGGCAGCATTGAAATCAGTTAGGGACCTTGTGCAACCGCAATGGCGTCGCAAAGTTCAACGTCGATTCCAAAGAGCATTGATATTTCTTAAGAATATGCTATCTATCTAAATTATTTACTGCATCTTTTTGTGTCAGAGCTAACTTTTGGTCCACATGTAAGCGCGTTGTTAAATTCAAACTGGACAGATGAAAAATTCGCCATTGCGACTTGCATTCTCCAAAGCGTATTGTAGAATTAGGTCATTTCACGTTGTTGTATCGCAGAGGATGGTAAAGAAAGTACCAAGATGGAGATACCACGCATCCTGAGATTATTGTACTGCCATTGACACTTTTGGCTGGCGACGTTCTCCGTGTTATGGCGTTGCCGTTTTGGTTTACGTAAGATCCCTAAATAACCGCCACTTGCATAACAAACTGAATGTGCCTTCAGCTTCAACCTGTCCATGTTATCCCAACTGAAAGTTGGGTCAGAGCTCTACACTTGATCACGAATGACCACAATCTCCAATGCCGGCCACATTTCATAATGAAGCCAAGGTTGAAATCAAGAATTCACACATTCTCTTCTTCAAAGCAATGCAAAACCCATTTCGTGGTTGTTGAATTTCCACCAGATATTGGTGAAGAAAATTTCCTTTCAACTTCAGTTTTCGATGATTTCGTAAAGGCAGCAGTTGTTTCTCTAAGCGTCGCAGGAGGAGCGCTACCTCTCCTTCGTTGTAAATCTAGTCTTTCTCTTTGCTTCTTATTGTCCGCTTCAATCACCTTGAGATTCTGAAAGATTTCGCTAAACGCCTGGTTCATGGCTTCTTCGTATTTCACCGCTTTCTTCTCTTGACCTTTCTGCTCTTCACTGTTCTTCATTGCGGAGAACTAACGGAACAGCTAAAGTCAAGGCAGATTTTTTTTCAAAGTGGATCTACGTACCTTCGAATTTCAAGCGTAAACTTTTAAGGAGATTGTTATCGCAACCAGGAATTAACTTGCCTATTATGTATTCTCGAATGTTTCATCGTCAACCAATCGTATCGCTTTCCAAGTTCTTAAGTCACGGTTTATAGAGTTGAAGGAAAAAATTCCAATTGACTTCACGTGTTTAAACTTAATTCTGTTTCAGCTTTTTAAGCTGTTTGAAGTAAACAAACAATGAATGTTACAAAACTTGAGGTAAACAGTTACACTCTAACATCATAGCACACTTCCTAGATGGCGGCTTGGCAAGCATGTTTGTACTAACAGAAAAAAAGTCATTGTTAGAAAACATTGGGTCGTCCAACTATAAAACCATAAAAGCTGTTTAAACACTCCCCAGCCCTTGTAGTATTTTTTATATGAAAATGTATTTAGTCGACTAAATGCACAGAAAACACAAGAATCTATTGTAGAATCGCTTGGGCAAGCATTGACAATAAAGATGGCTGACTGATTTTGCAAGGACAAATTATCTTTTTGAAACAGTTGCAATGATAGTATCCGCGCATTTATAGTGTTAATTATCATGGAGAAGAATTTTACCAGCGAGTGCTAAGTTTTTTTCTTCTCTGGGCAATGTCTTCCTTAACTTGTAACCCCTTCCCACCAATATGAAAGCAAAACATGATTATAACATGAAATATCAACGTTAAAGAAACAGTGATATCTAAGCTTAGTGTTTATACCGTGAAATTCCGAAAGTAACGTACTTTGAGAATAAGCTTTTTCGTATCCAGTCCGTACTTTCGAGGAGTCGCTTGTTTCGGGAAGCTAAAAGGTGCATCGTACGACTCATAATGAGGGCTGGTCGATCTTTGTTATAAAATAAAAATGTTCTCAATATTGACAGAAGAAAGGGATAGATCATGTTGAAAAGAACTTGTGTTACACTGACCAAACAGAGCAATATATATATATATCTATTGCCTTGGGTGATAAGGTCTTCTGAAGCAAATATCACACCATTGTGGTTCTGCTTGTTGTACTTGTTATTTCTATTGTTTCTTGTATTTAGTTATTTCTTCCGGTTAATAAAATGCCCTGGGGTTTACTGATGATGATGCACGATAGAAGGGGGAGGGCAACCTCGTTCCCAGGGTCTCATCTTACCGCCCTCTGGAGCGAGCTAAGATGAGAGACCCTGGGAACGAGGTTGGGGGGAGGGGGAATGTGAAAATTTAACGTTCTTGAGGATTGCATAGCAGACGTTTCCTTTCTGTTTTCCAGGCAGGGAGATCGAGCGAGCGAGCGAGCGAGCAAACGAGCGCGCCTGGAGTGGGCAAAATATGGGGAGAAGTGGGAGGGGGTGAACAAACAAAGGAGGAGAAGGGGGTGGTGGTAGGGAGGAAAGAAATCGCGTGCAGTCAATCCCAGACATTCATTTTTTGCCCTACCTCCTCCCCCTGCTTCTTATTTTTTCGCACTCGCTCGCAGTTGCGTTCCCTTTGCGTGCTTTTGAAAATGAACGCCTGCTACGCAGGCTGGAGGATTGTGTCATAGAAATTTTACGGTAGTATACTCAAGTGTAATTGATGGCAGCAGTTGTATTGTGTGTCAGATAGCTTTGATAATATCAGGAGTTTTTGAATCTCTCTGGTGGTTGTCTCTAATTAAATTGTCGTGTTGTTTGGTTTATGATGGAGGTGGTGTGATCAGTACAAGCATGCTTGTCACGTGTGACATGCTGTTACCCAGTGTGCGTGTCGCGTGATAGACTGGAAATTCGTACTGCGATGAGATAGGACGTTTCCGAAGTGACTCTTTACCAGCCGTCGTGTTGCGTGACAGACTCGGACACAGCGTACTGTAATGACACGAGTTCTGCTCTAATCAATGAGTTCTGTACGTGTGTTTATCTTTTTTCCACAGGTGAATATTACTCTCTCTCATGTGAACCCACGCTGGGTGAGAGCCAGATTTTTCACAGCATGGTCAAGAGGCAGCCAATCAGAACTCGCGACGCAATAAAGCTCATTGGCGATGGTCAAGAACAGAAACTGAAGAAAGACAGAGTGATAGAAAGCTGGATCAAGGTAAAGCTTTACACGCATCATTTGGGCTGTCACGAAGCCAAACATTGCGTGACTACTCAAGATTACGTGACTTCCCGAGATTACGTGACCAAGTGTCTTTCCAATCAAAGAAAATCTGTAGATAATAGTTCGCTAAGGTGAAAAGACACGAAAACGATCATATAAAGCAAAAGGAAACAAGGATGGTTAAGACTGGAGAAGATTGACACGGATTACAAACTATAGATCTGAATTCAAGAGATAGTAATCCGTGACACAGCTCTTATTTACCATTCTTTTCTTTTTTTGTTCATTAGACTCGACTCACTCGAAACATTGACGCATTACCTGGGGACCTGGACTTTAGTTACATCGCTCTCTATCACGTGATGCACGGGTTAAAGGTTGGTATCTTTTTGGCGTCTTGCAAGGTTACTAAGAAGTTAGAAGAGTGCACGTTTTGAAAACTCTTCACTAAGACTACAGAAGAGTACATTTGCAGTTGATTCGTTAATTAAAAAAGGAGACAAATGTCACAGTTACTGGAGCAAGAAAGGTTGTAAGCTCGGGGGGAGTCTCATATAAAGAGGAAGGGGTTTACGCGCACATTTTGAAAGGAACCCTTAAGAGGTACCAAAATCTTGTTTTGTGGGCGTGGCTTGAAATTGTTTTTCACCCCGAAGAGTTACCAATTCTGAAACTATACATTAACTGACACTTTTATTATTTTTGTTAGCGATAAATCAGTTGATTGTCAAATATCTCCTGTCATATTTTAGGTTGGTGGGGGAGGGGGGGNGCTCAACACCCTAAAAGGAGAAAAGGGATCCCAAAAGCTCCCACTTTGGACCTTATGAGGCTGAACACCCTAAACACCCTGAACACCCCAAACCCCCTTTTTTTACCCCCAAGGGTACGACGAGTACCCCCGCCCTTTTTATGTGGGAGTCCCTCTGGGGTTGTAAGACGGACCACCTTTTCTTAGCTATGTAGATGCAAAGTCCGACCTAAGCTGTTTTCTGCTTGTAATCTGTTGTTGATTCGTCATATAAATTTCAGATCTCCGTGGATGCTGCACAGAATTTGCCTTGGTCAAATTTTACGATGGTGTCCTATTGTCTTCTGCCTCCTGGATCATTTTATAGGGTGAGTTAAAGAATGGTGACTGCGTTTTAGCTTTCTAAGGCCTGGTTCACACTAGCGACATGACGACATAAGCGACATCACGACTTAATGACATAGCGACATAATCGCTTTTGTCAGAATTCTACGGTACAACTATAATTACTCTTTTTCAAATTTGTCAACCTCAGGAAAGAAAAGCACTGTTGGAATAACGTTTTTCGGCCGTGCATGAGCACAACTTACAGCATCTATTTAATTGATCAGTAACTGTGCAAATTTATAACACGACCTTTACACAGTGTTGTATTAGCTTGTGTTAGTTGACTGACGACCCTGTTCCATAAAGCTGTAATGTAAAATTGTAAAGACATTTAGAGATGTGAATGATCATCTCGTGTTTGTGAAAATGAAGCCTGAAAAAAAAAATACTCAAGCCTAAACCGGGAATCGAACCCATGATCTCTGCGATACCGATGCAGTGCTCTACCTAGTAAGCTATCGAACCATCTGGGAGCTGGTCACGTTGTGGGTTCGGAGTATACCCGTAGGTTGTGAAGAATGAAACAAATTCCTTTTTTCGAGTGTATGACTTGTATTGATATCATTTTAGGCGAAGTGACATTCCCGCTACTGTACGCTATATGGATCTATTCTCTTATCTTATTGGCTCATGTATCGATAAACGTATTCTGTATGTTTTGATCCACTTCACAGGGTACAAGAGAGGACTCTTTAGGCCTTGTAACAAAACCGCTGTACTCGAGTAGTGTCGCCTCTCCTGTGTGGAAAGATGGAATAAAGGTCAGTTCATTATAATGCTAGGTTACCTATAGCGCATCTTGAAAAACGTTAGCCATCCTTCTTCCTTTTTCGTTCGCCATTGCCTTTTTGATGTTTTTCTATCTTGATAAACTATTATTATTAGATTCCCCTCGATTTGAAGGTGATTTCGTGCGTTGTAAAATGTTAGCTTCGTCGTTTCGTAATCCGTCTCAATCTTTTTCAACCTAAGCCATCCTTGTTTCTTTTTGGTTTGTTACTGCTTTTATAACGTTTTCTCATCTTGGTAAACTATTAGTTTTCGATTCCCTTTGATTTGAACGTAATTTTTTACATCGAAAAAAAAAACACTTGAAAATGTTCGTTTCGTAGTCCATCTCAATCTCCCCCAATTTAGCCATCCTTGTTCCTTTTTGGTTTTGATGTTTTTCTATCTTGGTAAACTATTGTACTTAGATTCTCTTCTATTTGAACGTAATTCTGTACGTCAAAAAAAAGGGAGTTATCACAAGCCAGCTAGAGTAGTGGTTTTCTCGCAATTTAGCAAGAAACTAACAAAGTAAGCGGTGATATCTCCTATTCGATAACCAGTTATTCTTGCTTATCTGTTTGTTATCCAGGTTTTTCCTCGCCGTATTTACCACAGATTTATGGTTGTTATCGTCCATCTTCATGAGTTGATATTGGACACCAGCCAAACCAAAACATCTTACAGTCTACAAGGCCAGGTATATGAATCAGACTTATTGCTCTTCCATAAGCTCTCGAATGAATACAATCAACTCCGCTATTGGAAATCCGCGAATCTGACCTGGCCGTCGGAGGGCGTACTTCGAAATTAGTGAAATAAATCTTGTTAATAAATGTCGGTTAAATGTAGACTTGAGAATGGTTTGGAATGGGTGAGGGTACACTTAATGCTAGGGGTAACCCTGCGATGGGCTAGCGACCCATCCAAGGGGGAGCTAGAAATACTCCTAGTTTCATAACGCTACAAAAGTCGGGATAACTGCGGCGGGGTGGTAGACTTAGCCCAACGCAAACTCTGCTACCCAACAATCTAAACCGTACTTAGGAGTGTTCTTTGTCGCATAGTTATCTTTCTATCAGATGAAAACACCTAAATTGCAGATTCTGCTGTGTTTTGTTTCTTGTAGGCTTGGAGTGCTGTTCAAGTATTTGATGAAGGCTACGTTGTAAACGGTTGTTACCAGCTACCGCTATACTCAGGGGACCCCCCTGAGGTACTCTCTCATCGTGATTTATAACAGAGTTATGATCAGTTAACATTTTGGGTTTTATAATTTTGTGGCTACTGGCTTGCTGCACGCCAAGAAGAAATAGTTTATGCCTTACCAACCTTCTCCACGGCATTTATTGTACATTGACTTGAAAATAGTTATGGAGTCGCTGGACTCTGGGTTCGAGCCCTGGCCAGGGTCAGTGTTGTGTTCTTGGATAAGACACTGTACTCTTACAGTGCCTCTTTCCACCCGGGGCATGAGGTGTATAAATAGGTATCGCCAACCTTTTCGGACAACTTGACAAAAGGGTGAGGAGTAACTTGCGCAGAACTAGCATGTCATTCAAAAGGGGGGGGGGGTGCAGCAATATTTTACGCTGCAACAAAAAAAGTAACACTGATCAATCTTACATAAACACAATGTAAAACCAGGAACAGTACAGGAACAGGAACTTGATTATTTTGAAAAAAACAGGCCGATTGTTATTTGGAATTAGACTTAAACTTTGCAGTTATATCATCTCTTGCAAAGCATTTATGGAAGACTGGACGTACTTTTGTTAAGAGTCTGAAAACCTTAGTTTGTTTTTATGTTTGTTTTTGTTTTTCTTGATTTTGTACATATATATTTCATAGCTTTGTTATCACAGATTATAAACATGTCATCTTTTGCGATTTACAGGTTGTGCTGAATTCTCTTCAAGCTGACAGTTGTCTCAATGTCCTATCCAACTTTCGAAGGAGGAAAGTGGTAAGTTTTTAAAACGCCAATGCCAACACGATTACTGTCAACAAGACTTTTCACTCACTGAGATCTGATTTTCTAAACAAACTCTATTAGAACAACAATATAAATAATGTTTCCACGAGGGGGTTTTCTCTACGTCCCCATCTAGGGACGAAGGGTTATGTGACTGCTTATTTGTTAGTCGCCATGCAAAGCTCTCTCCTTTACTTGTCGACTCACATAGCGTTACAAAAATGCTAGTTTATTTGTTTTCTTTTCTCGTTTAAGATCAAATTCATGGAAGGCAGCTCAATTTATGTTCGACTCTCAGATGCGAGGAGAGCAGAAGAACTTCCCGCTCCAAAGGTAAGAATATTTACCTTGTTTTGCAGCGGGTAGTCAAATAATACCATAAATCGAAAAAGCATACTGAAACTTCGTCTTCTTTTTATGCGTTTGATCGCCGCTCGGCTAGCTTGAATAATTCCTCCCCGCCCCCCTCCCCATACCCAAAGTATTTTGTCTCCTCCCCAGTTTTCGCTCAACAAATTGTTCGAGATGGCGGCTCTATGACCGGGATGCCCCGACGATTTCAGCGCTAAAACTTGAGGCGCTTGCAGTCATCACATTATTATATAATTGACGAGATTTCCTTAGAAGTTAGATAAACGTAGATCTAGACAAATTTCCTAATTTTCTTTCTTTATTCTCTGTTACTTGTCTTTTGTCAGATGAAGGCCAAGCAAGACTACTTGCCGAAAGAAAAGCTGGAAAAATATCTGAACGTGAACCCGTCTTCCTCTCTAAGTTCTCTTGTACCAAGAGGGATGACTGAAGATGAGTTAACTGTGGAACTAACAGACAAGTTTACGAGTGTAAGTTACTGCTCCACTTCTGAAATTAAGTTGCTAGGGTTTTATTTAACCAAGATATTTGAAGCTTATTTGAGGCAAATCCAGCGGTATTGATTGCATGGTTTACAATGGTAACATTAATTTGGGGTGTAATCGGGCGAGTGATTTTAGTTTGATCGAATAATTACCCAAGGCTGATTTTAAATTACTATTTAATCGGGAATTCTTTACAAGGGAACCCTAACCCAAAGGAAGTGGGGTATGGTGGCCTCATGGTAGCGTGTTGGGCTCCGCATCGAGCGGGTCTGGGTTCAAGCCCTGGACGAGGACATTGCTTTGTGTTTTTGTACATGATACTTAACTGTCACAGTACTTCTCTCCACCCTGAATTTAATGCTGGGGGTAACCCTGCGATGGAGTAGCATCCCGTCCAGGGGGGAGTAGAAATATTTCTAGCCGTTTCATTCTACAGAAATCGAAATAAATGCCAAGAGCTATGAGCCTGTTGTTTTTGGCAAGTAGAATTTTAGATATCAAGTCAATTAGATGGCACTTTATCAATAGATGTGCGACTGAGTTAATGTAATTTGCCGCCATTTCAAGAATATGCGTTACGGGAGGTTTTAACGAGCAGTATTTAATATGTTGTGTTCGTTTTCTTTTTGTGCAGCTAACAACTCAATTGTTGGGGACATACCAGAAGGACACCTCATAACACACGACGTGAAGTACCACCTGGAACCATTCAAGCCCTCCAATCTCGTTCCCACTTCCCTTTTCCTCACGAGGTTGTATGGCATTCCCAAGAGAAACGCTGGATTCGCTAAACCAAACTTACACCCCAGCTTTTTAAAACATTGTGTAGACTTGGTCAAGCTTCGATCTTAATTGCTTTAAAGGAAAGCATACAGGAAGCAAAAGTTCTATTTGAAACACGCAAAACGCAATCATACATGAAAAAATTGCCCTATATACTTTCTGAATAGATGTACATATACTTGTTTGTAAAGCAAAAAAATAATAAATAAGAGAAATATGCCAGGTAATAGAAGTGTTTAACAAGAGATACAGGCCTGTGGCCTGTGGTTTGCAGAAATGTGTATAAATGTTTAGAAGTGGTGATGTAGGAAAAAACTTACCTTGAACTTTCGAGTATTTAATTTATCGTTCAGTCATACTCATGTTCACTACTAGTATAGGACGCTTATATGACCGGTAACCAATCAGGAGCCGAGAAAGACAATAGGCTGTTGTTTGGAGAACAATGGACGCTATTGTTTTCCAAATCCAAGATGGCGCTATATATTTTCAGCCAATCAGGAGCCGAATTAAGAACAATGGATGCTATTGTAATAGTACTAGTAATAGTAATAGTAATAGCCAGTAGTAATAGACGCTCATATGAGCGGCAACCAATCAGGAGTCGAATTAAGAACAATGGATGCTATTGTTTTCCAAATCCAAGATGGCCGCCACAAAT